GCCACCAAACAGGGCAAACAATTAAACACAGGGGAAAAGTAGGGAACCAACAGCAGGAAAACAGCACGACAAAGACAATTGGGCACATACTGAGGGAAAGGAGAAAAGAAAGAAAAAAAGGAAGGGAAAAAATCATGTATGTGTATACACAGGACAGCTAAAATGATTGTGCTACTCACGTTTGGCAGTTTATTTAAGGTAGCAGCTAACACTTCACATTTTTGCTTTGGCCAGTTTTGCATGTTTATTTGTGGTGATCTGGGCAACCACACTGAAGACAGCAATGTGCAGTAGAACAACCGCTGAAAACCTACCCTCTTGGTTTCTTTAAAAAACTGAATTTCATTTCTAATACCTATTAATTTCCTATTTTCATTAAAATAAATCTTAAAAAATCAAAAGGTAAATGTCTTTTTTTGTAGGATTGGAAAAGATTCCTTAGTGACTGGTAAATTTTCAGAGAAAATGAAGCTGAATTCCACTCAGAGTCGCACATTTGGTGATGTGAATGAAATGGTCTAAAGCTCCATCCATGTGTAACTGTACACGAGTGAATCATGGGCCTCTGCGGTCACAAAATGAACTTGCTGATCACTGTGTGAATTAAGTACTGTGTAGCCCACGGAAGAGAGCAGTGTGAGTGAGAGAACTTCCCTGACTTCTTGATTTTCTCTCATGTTCTTTGTTTTTCCAGTACTAGGGCTTGAGCTCAGGCCCTGGGCTCGCCGGGCAAGCACTTAATCCACCGAGCTATCTCCCTGGCCCTCTTTCGTGTTCTGCAAGTCAGGCGGCCACTTGCTTCTTTCAAATTGGAGCGGCCTGAATTCTGTTCAACGGCTGCTCCAGATTGACCTGTGGGCCTGGCTTTAGTGACATCTCTGATACTTAGTAAGTTCGGTGACCTTTCAGAGACATGAGGACATTGCCCTGGTGGAATATTGGCTGGTCTCTAGCGGGGCCGGGCCCGGGCTCTGGATGCTTACTGCAGGAGCTCACCCTCAGGTCTGAGCAGTCAGTCCTCCAGGCACCTTGGCGCAGATGTAGGTTCTGAGTTCTTGGTGGTAACTGTGCAGCCAGGAAAGGTCAGAAGGAGATAGCTCTATACCTACATGCAGGCCTATACAGTAAATAATAATTAATCTATCATATCTACTTAGAATCCACTCAGTTTTTTCCATGAAAGAGTAAATTCACCCATGAAATCATTATATACAAAGCAAAGCGTGATCAGAATGAATATCTCCTCCATCAGGCTGTGAAACTTGAAATGACTCAGCCAGCATGAGCTTTTTTCTAATTTTAATATACTATAAATTACCAATATTACACAGCCATAAATCATTCACTTCTATGTGTGTAGTTACAAAATAATCACTTAAATTTTATTATAGACCTATATTCATTCTTATCTCATTTTTGTTGTTTTCTTTTCAGAAGTGCTCTGAAAGACTGTGGGGTTAGAGATTTAAATAGCTCACTTTCTCTCAAGAAGCTAACCCCACAGATGCCATTTGCCCAGGAGGTCTCCAGGCTCACTGTGACCCTGGGCCAGTGTGACAGAGCACTCCTGTTTCCATCACAGCCCTGGTCAGAGGCAACCACAATTTAGTACCAAAGCCTGGCTATGTGGGCCGGGATGCTCTCGCCATCCAGTTTACTCTTTAAATCCTACATTTCCTGTGAAATCAATTGTCACAACATGTGAGTCCCAGAGTGCCCCTCCGCTTGGTCTGCATGCCAGAGAGGTGCCCCTGCCCTGCTCCCAGCAGCCCAGGACGCTGTTCCTCCACGCAGTGTCCCCAGCAGGCACTGTGCCCTGCAAAGAGCTGCTTCCTACTTAACCAGGAGACCATCCCCAGGTGACTCTGGGGTCTCCTGCCCAGCAGCTGATGGCCCTCCATGGCTGCCCCAAGCTGGTCCTGGCTCGGCTGCGCCCTCTGGGGTGAGGAGGCTGCAGCCTGGCCCTGCTCTCTCTCAGCTTTCCTGAGGCTGCGCTTCTCCAGGCCCCACAGCCCTGGGGAGGGAATCTTTGAAAGCTAAGCTAAGGCAAAGCACCACCAGAGAGCCACCAGAGTTATATATCTCCTCTCGACTGCAGACATCCGAAAACTTGTGACTGCTGACCTGGATGATGTTTGTGACATTTCCTTTCTCATCATTTAAATCGCACTCAGTTTCAGGCTTTCCATCAGAATGAGTCTTTTCCCAATAGCCAAACAGGTGCCTAAACAAAATGCACCCAGACTCAATTCATTGCTGACCGCATTAGTACCAATATGAAAACCTCTACAGAGGGTACGCCACACCCCGAGTAATTCCGCTGAAGTCCTCTTCCTAAATTGAGTTAATACTACTTTGAAGAAAAGAATACTTGGAATGCACAAAACAACAGCTATGAGGCTGAAATAATTTAACTTATTTTTAAATTATTAAGTCATAAAAAACAATTTCTCATCAGGAAAAGTTATTTCACTGTCATCACAGTTTTATTTTAATATGTCACAGAAATCCTGAAGAGGACAAACTGTACTTTATAATGATGACATAGAAAGGCATATAAGTAGTGCTTTCTCCTCTGCGTGACACTGAGAAGCACCAAGTATTAAATGCGAAAGACAGGGAAGAGCTGACGGAGAGAGACAGTGGAGAGGCGGCCAGAGCGCAGAGCCCGAGGACGCTGCAGCCCAGTCAGGCTTCCTCACTGATCTCAGCGGTTTAGTGCTGCAGGCTCTGCTGGACAGAGCTCAGCACCGTGGCCACAGGGCTGGTCTTAGCCTGACTGCCCCAGAGCCACTGCCTGTGACTCAGAGGGCGCTGAGGGGTCCGCGGCTGCAGAGGATTCAGAGCTCTAAATGCTAAGATTTGTAATTTGAGCAAGTATATTAAGGACAACAGTGTTCTATTAAAGCTTATTGAAAGGAAGAGTGGCTGTTTAATTGTTTAATCAATATTACATATCTATATCTTGCAGTCTAAGGAAACAAATTTGACAGTAACAATATGTAATATAGCAGCCACTGTTAATATTGAATTCTTTTTTTTTTCTTTTTTATATTTTAGGGAAGGGTCTATGGGGTGTTCAGGGTCTCACTATTAGATTGGACTTGTAGTAATTCCCCTGTTTACAACCTCCCATGAGCTGAGATTACAGGTGCGCGCCACCATGCCCAGTCTCAATCTGCGTCTCAGCACACCTCGGGGGTAGGGCTGGCATGGCAGGTCCGGTGATCGAACCCCTGGTCCCTGCACCTGCTTGCAGGCACTTTAATCCACTGAGCTATTTGGCCAGCCTCCTAATAGTCCATTCTTGTTCTGAAATTCAGTGCCATTTGTACTGTCTTATATTGCTTTGTTTTGTCTTTGCTTAGTTATTTGTTCTAGTTTTTGTGTTTGTTTTTCTAAATGAACACAAAAAACCTTTGATGGAAAACATGGAGTGAGGAGAGGAAATATTCTAGTGCTTTGGTGAGGCTGGAGTGAGGACCTCGAGGAAATCCAGGATGCTGCAGGGCAGGGGAAGGGGAGACAGAGGTGTGGACGGGCTCAAGCCTGGGCATCTGAGGACACAGTCTGGTCCCTGCAGGGAGGTCCAGCACGTTCTCAGCTCCCAATTGGGTGGTCATTGTCATCGTCACTGTCTTCTTTTCTCCTCCTCCTCCTCTTCCTCCTCCTCCTTCTAAATGTATTTGGTTCTTACAAGGTCTCACTGCGCAGCTCATACTCATAATGGTCCTCCAGTGTTTAAGCCTCTCTAGTGCTGGGATTACAGGCATGCACCACTACTCTCGGACACTGTGCTGGCTCATCCCGCCCTTGGGGCAGGGCTGGTGCAGCATGTGGTGCAGGGGATTGAACTGCAGATACTGTACTTGCCTAAGCTTGCCTAACCAGGTGCTTTAGCCTACTGAGTTATATCACCCACCCAAGATCAGGCCTTCTGTTAACTGTCCTCCAGAAATGGTCTCTCCTATATCACAGCCCCTTTTGTAATAGGACCACGGCTTGTGTGACGTTGGACCAAAAGAACAGGTCTCTGCTTCATTCCATTTTAGATTATTGCTTGTCTTTGTCTTTATATTTAGAGGCTAACTCTACTTGGATAGACTCATGGGGCCACTGTTTGCATGATTTTACATTTTATCAGCTTAAATTTTAAATGATTATTCTTTGTTTTATCATCTTAAGGAAAAACTATTGCATATGTGTCATTGAAGTACTCAATGTACATTACTACTAAAAACAAATATGATTTGAATATTTAATGGTACTTTAAAGTGTGCTGATTTTTATGTGCAAGTTTTAGAAATTACCATTTAAGTGAAATTGACAAAAGCTGTCACAGTTTTGGATGATGTTATGGAATAAATATTCTGGATGTATGTGCAAGATATGTCATGTGATCACATTCAGGTAAAAGTGAAGTGGTGAAATATTTTTTCTTTTGAGTTTTAAAAGTTTATGAACATATTTCTCTTGAAAGAATAATATCTGAAATGAACCTTAAGCCAAAGTCCCTCCCCAGCAGGGCGAGGCCCGCTCCATCCCACATCCCACAGAGCCTCCACCCTGGGCGGTGCTGCAGGCCCCAGAGGTCGCCTGGGAGAGCAGAGCCTGCCCCTGGCTCGGCAGCAGCACCCTGGGCCTGGGCAACGCCTGCTGGAGCTTGCTTCTGATAGTGATAAGCCACAAATAATTCTGTCTTCATTGCGGTGAGATTGAAATCAAGTTCAGTGGGGTCCCATGCAGAAATCCAGGACAAGTGGCCCTTACTGCTCTGCTTCAAACTTGTGAAAGCTAAACAAATGTTGCCAAATATTTTATGAATTTTATGCAGACAATGGATAGTGCAACATTCTTGATATTTCAAAAATTAATATTTCTTTGCTTTTTCTTTTAGAGAGAATTGCTAAAGTACTTGGTAAGTTATATTTTATTTACTGTACTAAGTTGAAAATTCAGTATCATTTTATCAAAATATTTATCTCTCTGTGTGATTCTTTGCAGAACAAAGCAAACGCTTTGTACAGCAGTGTAAGTACAGTCCTGATCCAGCACCAACACCCGACCCCTCCCTGCAGCAGCCCGCCTGCCCACTCCCTCCTGACCCTTCTGTCTCCATCTGCTGCAGGTCTGAGGGAAGCTCGCCGATTCGCAGGTAAGTGCACAGGGAACAGCTTAAGATGAGGTCGTGTTGTCCACCTCAGCTTCGTGGGATTCCAGTGCGGAAGCAAAGCTCCTGCCCAATAATCCATAAAACGCATGGGACTAGGAAGCCAGCGTCACCCCTGGCTTCTGTGAGAACCACTACACAGAAGGCGGGAGGTGACACAAGAAACCTCCTCAGGGCGCACCCAGGGGGCGTGTTGTGCTGCGCCCTCACACTACCTCGCAGGTCACCTTGCGA